CAGTATGGCGAGAGCAAGTTAGATTTATACTAGTGGCTATAAACTTCCGGCTAAAAATGCATCGTTCATATTTAAGAAAGACAAAGATTCCACACGCAGCAGGGAGATTCACAGGCTTGAAGTGCCACCGTAACGGCGGTACCAACCAGCAGAATCGCAATTTCTTCTGTTAAAGTGACAGGCGGTATCCCGTGAATATCACACATTGATCTCATCCATTCTCCTATCAATTCTACGGATCTACACGGAGGAGGTGCACCGTCGCCTTGCTTCTAGTAGCCCAGGAGCTATTTAAACAGGCCGCGTCTCCATGGTACATTTTAACACCGGCAGTACATGAGCACAAACTATCACTTTCTTGGGTCGAACAAAAATATGTTAGAACAAGAACGGACATTATTCATCCGTTGGCAGATATAATAAAAAAACTAACAACGATTATACGGGTTTGCTAGCTAAGGGCTAGTTTTTGATACCGCCTGTAAGAATAATGATCTCCTGTAACTTACCCATATTTACATTATCCAAATGCTTATGGTAGCCTAGAAAGTCGTTTAAGCAGGGCTACTCTTACATACATATAGCGGAACTGAAGTTATTATATGAATACCGTGTAAATGATGTCGAGAATGATTCAATTTGCAGAAGCAAGGAAAACGCTACTACGCTTTAGCTGGAGAACGGGACAAAACAAAGTGTGCCACAATAATTGAAAAAAATCCGATACAACACAAACTGAAACAAAATACATAAATTAAGTGATTTAATCAAAAGCATACTTGAAACGTACCTCAGTTACACTTTTGCGCAATGAAAACTCAGACGTAGTCAATGAACCAGTTTCCGGATGGCCACTGTTGCCGACAAGAGCCAAATAATGTTTTCTGAGCTGTTCGGCGACGGCCAGACATATAGAATATACATCAAGATTGTGCTCTCGCGCTTGAGCAAGGTACCGCTGCCTCTCAGATGAGTCAAATACGTCTATCAATGATAGATTTTTCCAATAAAAATTAAGAAATCAGATCATATTTTTATGAAAACCCTTACCTTCTAAAAACTTGGCGTACCAAAGGATTTGGAGATCTCTTCGAAGTTTCGAAACGTAAAAGGGAATAAGCGAGACGCGTCGGTCGCTGATCAACACTTTAACGTAGTGTTCAATCAGCAGATTGTACGTGCGCTCCTGAAAGTAGAACAAAATATACGAGTTTATTTTTTAATTGCAATATAACTTTAATGAAGATTCTTTAAATCACAGGAAAGGAGGAAGGGCAGAGGAGTGTACTAGCGAAATACAAATTAAACACGTGCTTGTACCAGGAAACCACTAAATTAGTGTCCGCCGCGAACACATAGATAGTGGTTTACTCTACTGCATCAAACCACATTTTTTGGCAGTATTAATCTTGCTATCTTTTAGCGAGAGGTAGGTGAGTTGCAAAGATATACAGTTGCCCCAAGAAACTTCGCTGATAGACACAGACTAACTTAGAGCCAGGACGTGCTTACATGGTCTCCCTGGATCTTAACAGCAACTTCTCAGCAAAATAACGTAGTGTAAAATGGTAGGGATGAAATACATTTATTAACAAGGCCATGAGAATTAACGGACAATGAATCAGATTCACTGATTATACTAGGTTTTGCAAAGATACAAATGAGTTAGCCATTTTCTGGAATAGAGAATTCTTCAATATCCTTACTACAAACTTTACAATTAAGATAAGTTCTATAGCAATTGCCAGTTAATAAATAGAACAGTAAGAAGAGACAGACTTTTCCACTTTCATCGTTCAACTCGATAATCTAAGGAAATGGCTACTGAAGAGGCAAAGTGCTATATTTTCATCATCACTGGGGCATTTGGCTAAAATAACGTTAATACAGCTTTTGAAAACCCTTGGAAACAGGCTCAGGTTCGATTTCCAGGGCACATTTTATAACTGCTCCATGAAAATTTAGGCAAGAACGACGGATCTGGTTGTCCACTGATGTTTTATTGGTTTAATAGAAATCACCATCGAAGAAGAAATAATTCGCCTCTAAAGTGTATAAAGTTAACTTTGTGACATAATTCAGACATTAGTATGCTGTTCAAGTGAATTATATCCTTGAAGGAACTTATCCATTACTTTAACATTAAAGTGAACAGGAATTTAATAAACAAGTCTTCAACATCCCGGTGATCACTTCTTTATATGAAAGAAGGCTCTTGCAGCACGGAAGGAAACGTCGGCAATAATCAATCACCCAAATGATGACATTAATCGACGTATGAATAAACAAATAAAAATTTATACGTTATCAGTACGATCAAGAATGCAAAAACGAAATAATAGATTATTAATTTAAACTTGCATATTTAAAAGATATCCACGATAAAATGATACATGGTGAAAACGTACTTCTATGTCGACTCCAAACGACCTTAGCTGAAAAACTAGGTGACAAGAGAATCTTGCTCTATGTCTGTTAAAAGCACTGTTTTGACTCATGGCATTGTCCAAGTAGCGGATAAGGGCGTCGTAGTGCCTCAGCGCCAGAAATTTTTGCACGTTGCAAAAAAATCCTCCTTTAAAGTCCTAAACGCAATTTTGAAAAGGACGAAAACAGAAACAAAACCACATAAAAGCAGAAAAAGCAAAAAAACATACATCATCGCTGAGTCCCAATTTGGGAAATATTTGTGAAAAGCGCAGAGCCGGCGAAGAAGCGCTTGTGGCCATACCACTGCGAAACTCGTCGAACATTTGTTCGCTCAATGACTTGCAGTGCGCCCACAGCTTGTCTTCCCAACAGTTGGACATAGCCAACAACGAGTCGAGATGTCCTGTCAGTACTCCATAAGTGGCCCTCTCCGCAGAAGACAATGACGGCTAAAAGATTAAATGTCATGCGTCGCTTTCACCCGAAGTTTATTGTTTGTCATTTCTTTACTTACGCATAAAGTTACCCTGCCCTTTACGTTGTTTATTTTGCACAGATATTCAAAGTCCCTAATCGTTTTGGTTCAAGCAGCAGCACTTTCAAAAATTTTTAAAAATGATTCCGTGGTTCTGGCAATCGAATGCGCTTCATGACAAGAATTCACTGGTAAGACAATATTCAATATTTGATATACTCGGACTATCTAATTTTAGACTGGTTTCTTGGAAACTTGCCACGTGTGAAGGAAATCCGCGCAGCGAATCTTTCCTCTGGTATCCTCACTACATCTCAAGGCCACTGAGATTGATTTTTCAGCCTGGAGATGGAGCACTCGTAAACGAGAGTACTGAGAATTGCTGCACTCCATAACTTGCCAATCACGAACAATCCTTCAAAGGAACTTCTTCACCTGAAAGAATCATTTCTGCCAACTGCTACCTGGATCACATTGTTTACGAATATTCAAAAACCTCGACCAAAATTATTAATGATTTTCAGTAGTCACTATTAATAACGATAATATTAAGCAATTGCATAATTTTATGCCATTATTAACTTGACGATATCGAAATGATTGACCCCGATATAACAATAATGGCGCAAACGAATCTGAAAATTAATACCTAGATGAGCATAAAGTCATACGCATTTAACAAATGCAATTCTTCTTTATCACTATGCATCGATAAAAAGAATCTGTGATTGAACTATTGCTTAAGCAA